GGTTGCTAACTGCTCTCGGCCAGCTGAGAACTAACTAAAGGGTCGCCCACAAGCTTGTATTTGGGTTTGATCCTTCGGTGCCTTCCTTGGGGGCCTTGGAGAATATTTCGGACAAACAGCTGCCAGACCGCTTCCCAAAGAAGAAGGAGGCTATGGCCGAAGCTGCGATTCGAGCCCGTAAACGCGATGACGCTTTGGTTATCTTCGAAGAGATTTGGCTGGGACGGCGGGCCCAGGCCGCCGAGCGGTTCAAAGGCAAAGTGGCGCTGGTGGATGCTCTCAACCCGGTGAAGGCTGGTGACACGGTGATTCTCTTCGATGGACGTCCTACTTCGAAGTTGGGCCCTAAGGCGTCCGGCCCGTATGTCGTTATTCGTTGTGTCGGTAAGCAATGCTACGAAATCAGTTCAGATGGTAGCCGTGAGAAGTCAGCTATCATCCATGATTCGAGACTACGTAAATATGAAGCTTATAGTGTTTAATGGTTTTATTGCTATATCTGTACTGTAGCAATAAAAAGGGGGCGAGATGTTGTGAATGATCGAGAGTGCAAGATTTCTTACTCCGCGCTGTCGATTGCATGATCGATCTCTCTCGTCTGACGATTAGCACGCACATCCTTTTTGCTTCAAGGGGTTCTTGATATCATCTTTGTATGAGTGACGCTCAGTCACCGATCGACGACCGATCTGAGTTGGCTAGTGTGGGAGGGGAGACAGACGTCGACGTTGACATTGAAGAGTCGGAAGATTTACATCATGTACTAAGCGATGGGCGCTTAACCTATGCGTGCCAGCGGAGCGATCGATGTCATGTTTGCCGAAAAAGAGACTGGGTCATCTCCCGTTCCAGCGAATTCTGGCACCGTGAGAAGATTATGTCACACGGTCTCTATTACCATTCATTTGGTCGTAGAAATCCGAATCTTGCGCTTCTTCGCGTGTTGGGTTCATGATCTAAGATCATAGATCAGTGTGGAGTTCAAATCCAGTTTCTATTCGTGCTGTATAGAGGCTTTACAGAATGATTCTGTAAAGAGGATTATCCTCTTTGCGGGACTTGTCTCGTATTCCAATCGTCCCAAGTTGGGACTCCCAACGTTCCTTAGCAGTCTGTTGGCTCGATGGCAGAGTCTCATCAACAGGAATCGTTGAGTAGAGAACATCTACAAGCCATTGACCGCTCGTGGCGATGCGCGCTCCAAGTAGCTTTTCTCCCGGATTGGGAGTTTCAATTCGCAAGGAACAATTCATCTGTTGAGGGAGCTGATAATCATGAATGTAGACAAGTCATGAGAACGCGAGTATTATAGTGGGAATCAGCGCGGTAGAGGGAGCTCAAAGCAGGAAGTGCATGCGATACCACCAACGAACTGATAGTGCTGATGCTCTTTGAAAATTTCTGTGAATAATATCTCAGTTGTTGTCTCATTGTAGGTGAATACATCGTCATAATGTTGCGCCACCAATGTTGCGCCACCAATGTTGCGCCACCAATGTTGCGCCACCCACTCTTGTCACGCCTCACGTTTTGAGAATTGAGTTTCAGTCCGTCATGTCCTACAACTCTCCTCTACATTTCTAACAAATGACAGCGGACTCGTCGCTCGCATGATCATGAGAATCTCGACAAAGGAACATCTCATCCGCGGATTCTGAGAGAGAGTCTTATCACTGATAAGTTATCACCATTGGAACTGCAACTCCGTACATTTCGTTACGTTAATTTAGCTGCGACCGCACGCGAGGCCAGTCTCCATGAGCCCCGCTCTTCCTTCAGGAGTGACGTGACGCTGCTCATCGCGCAAAGCAGCCCGACTTAGTTTGTTATTCGTGCGAGGAAGCCTCCATCAGACCCGATCGAGAGCTTCTCTTCAACTTTCCATTGGCTTGTCCTCGTCTTCAGTTTACTCACCCCTACCATCTATGACTCGTCTGCTGAATATCTTCGCAACCATCGCCGGTGTCCTGAGCATCCAGGCTGATCCTTTCGCTGACGATCTAGTTGCAAACTTCACGGCTCTCCTTGGTAATCCGGATGTCCACAAGTTCATAGACAAAGCCCTGATGGATGCTCCTCCACCGCCTAACCCCAATAGTCGTGAGCTGGATGAGGTTCTCGGAGACGGAGATCTTGCAAGTGGAAGGGATCGCTACCGGTTCTGTTCTAAATGCAAAACTATTCACAGTACGGCCATCAACGCGTATTTCTACCAGCAGATCACCGAGATTTGCGAGGGAGACGGGAATGCTGACTCCTTACCCACCTACGAGTTTTGTGCTCACCTCAAGAAGAGAATCGCCTCGCTCGATCAGATCTTGAACGGTTACATCTTCGTGCGCTCGCGTGCTCTTCAACTCGCAACCTCTACATGCATCGGCACTAATCAGTGTCCGACCAAGGACGCCTACAATGCTTTTTTCAATCCTATCGTCCCCGGACGACTCATCGACTTCACCAAGCTCGACTACTGCCCATGTGAAACTTTCCCCAAAATTGAGACTTGTTTTGAACAACTATCAACAAGGATGCTGAAGTACGCCATCGGCGAGGTGAAGTATGCATGTGATAACTATGAGGATAAGGGTTTAGACGAGTTCTGCGGGTATGTTGCGACTGATAGCCACTTCGGTGCAGGGCTGGTCTTCGGGTTTGTGGGTGTCTACGAGCAAGCTACTGGTTATTGTGTCCGCGACCAATGCCGTTAGTTTCTATGGTATATCACGGTCCTTCAATGAGTTTTTTTTGCCCGAAGTCTGTGCTTCTGATCAATTCTCCGATCGTCTTGGAGCGAAACTCCTCGGGGTTCTGGAGTCCAGAAACTGCGACTTTTATATAAAGCTGATTCGATCAGAAACTCCCCTTTCCTCACATCCAATCCACTACGATTCTACCAGAGCCTGGTTCTCCCTCATTACATCAAGCTCACCTCGACTCGACCACAGCCATGTTCTCAGATGTTTCTCGTCTGCGAACTACTCGGTCCACAAGTTTCCTCTTTCCGGTACAATGGGATTGTGTTCAGCCCGACGGGAGTATACATGGAGTATAAGGGATGAGCTATATCACTAGTATATATTTCAGCAACCAAATGTTGGAAGTAGCGAACTCCGAATTGTCTGCAGCAAGTAGCGCTTTTTTGCTCCACTGTTACTTTCTCCAGGAATCTCTTACACGCTGGCACTTTTGCCCAGACGTGCTGCTCTCGCACGTTTTCCTTATTCTGTAAAATTGTGCTCATTTGCTGTTTCGTATGTTTTGCCTTGTAATTATCTAGTCCGGGATCTTTCAGGGTTCGCTCTTGTGTGATGTTCCTGCATGAAATATGCAAATTAGCAGTTGCCGCTATGTGACAACGTTGCGTTATTTTTATGTTATGGCTATTTGCTCTCTTGTAACTTGCGCGCAAACTAGTGGAAACAGAAAACAGGCTTGACTACGAGCTGCTAACGTCTTACTACGACGCAATAGTCCACACCATCACTGGTGATTCGAGTCACTTGAATCGAGTATGTGGGTTGTATCTCGAGCGCGTCGTGAAGACTTGCAAACACTCGAGGGCTCAAGGAAGACATTCAAGCACCATACTTCATGATACTTGACTTATCGCAACATGGCACACCCAAAACCTCAGGAAGTAACAGCTCAGGCCAAGTGAACTTCTCACTATAGTAGTGGAGACAAGCTTGAGTTGCGTGCTGCACAACTTTGTGCCACACGTAACAGTGATGGGTCCCCCATTATGGGTGCTGGTTCGCTTACACTACGCTCACAGGATACGTGGTGATGGTGTAACCTACCAAACGAAACACTTTATATCCTCAGTGTCTGGCAGTGAAGCACTGAGTTAGTGAGAAATCCTCACTGAGGATCCCCCACCTGCCAGGTGGCCACTTGCCACCTGGTACGCATTATGGAAATCTTCATCCCACGGCTCACTATGACGGCATGGAGCATGCCGGAGAGTCTACTTTTTGATAAGTATCACTACGAAGGGACCTGATATCCTGCACGTGGAATATCCATTCATCAGCACCCGTATCTAAGTCTTCTTAGAGCAATTAGGATCGATTGTGTAGGAGTGATGAAGAACTATACAGGCTAAAACTGAACGCGGAGAGAATTGCGAAGTGGGAACTTTAGCATCCCACACACGCAACATTCGTTCATTTTCAATTCCACGCGTGACAATTTGCTCCATCCTTTTCGGAAGTCTCTAGTGGCAAAGCAGGAATTTGCTCTCTTGCGGACTTGTTTATTCGTTGAGCAGCAGATTACTCCTCTGTAAAGCAGCAGTTTGCGCAATCGTAGATGGAGCAGTCTACTGGTTTGCCGCTTTTATGAGCAAACTTGCTCTATTTTGTTACATCGTAGCACTACACACAGCCGACACTTTTATATATTGTAGCAATCTTTTGAAATACAAACTAGCAAACGATATTTATTCGGGCAATTTCTGTTATAAAATACGGCGAATTTGCGTATTTGTAAAGTGAATTTGCTGCTTTGCTCTTCTGTCTAATATACAGTGTATATCAACCACTGCGTTCCTGCAGACAAGCACAACAGCAAAAGGAAACATACATTCTAGCTAACTGACACTTTCTTGCTATTTGCTCCTTTGCTATATTATAAGTGAGCCACTATGAAGAGAACTACAAGATCACTTTCAAGTTGAAAGTGATCTTGTAGTTCTCTTGAAAGTTTCAACTCCATATTTATGGATTTGCTGTAACCACCTATACTATGTTCAGGAATATGGAGGTTTGGGTGGTTGCCACCGGTTTATTAACCCCGTGGCGCTTCTAAACTTTACCTCCTATATACAACATCCTAGCTCTAGCACTACGTGACGTAGTCTACGTCAACCACGAAGGTCAATAAACTAGGGTGTTGTGAAGCCAATCAAATGGAGATAATCTAGAAGCCCTCCATAAGACTTAGAAGAACAATAAACATTATAGTTGAATTTCCACGAGGAGGTTTCCGAGCTGAGCTCAGCGAGCTCGCCGAGCTCGGCCGTACCGAGCTCGGCGCGCTCATTTCAATCTAACAGTAAATCACAATGCATTCATCCTTGAACTAGCCCCGTCAATGGACCTTCATTTATCTTGCTCAACTCCCACGGAGCGATGCGCTTCACGTTTCTGCGAAAAAGAACACTACGTAAATCGCATGATGCGATTTACGGGTTCTCCCTAATTATTTCTTTTTATTTTTTTCTAGTTATTTGTTTTTCGAAAAGAATACGAAGAAATACTAGTTCGATTGTTTCTAGAAAGAATTGAAAAGAATTCAGTTTTTCGGGTTCTTGAGCTTTAGTCTTTCTGCACAGAAACTAGCGCCCGCCCAGACGATCTCGCTCGGCACTTAGGTGTAATAGCTATTATCAAATAGATTACATTGCTCATTGCTACTTTCAACTTTCTCCCTATTCATCCACGTTGCGTCATAGTACAACATGGTGCCCAGACCCAGGGCTACCGATTCGGTAGTACTGAACACTCTGAGGAGACAGGTGACTCCGAGTTCTTAACCTTTGACGAGTTTAACGCGCTAGCTACCGAGGAGGAAGCAGCTCACGAGGCCCAAGCTGATGATCCCCGAGAGGATCCACCTTCTGCTGGTGTGAGTTCTACCAGCTCTGTTCAAGTGCAGTACCTATCTCACCCTGTTTCTTCTGGTGACATCACTCCTAGTCTACCCCAACCATCCCTCAACGTGACCAATGGTATTTGCAGTTACAAGATCATCGACCCCTTCAAAGGCGACAAAACCCAGGATACTGTGGAGTTCATATCCAGGTTGAGGGAAGCCTATGGCTTGTTAGGATGGCCAGAAGCTACTAAGTACAATGTTCTCCGTGTTAACATAGAGGGTGCACCCGGGTAGAATGGTTTTTGCAATACCGCTGTGCTTTTGCAATTTATGTTTGTGCAATTGTTGCAATGTAAGACATCCGAAGTCGCTTTTGCAATGACTTGTTATTGTTGAGTCAACAGTGCTGACAAAACCCAAGACATCGGAACTTTGGCAACATGGATGGTGCAAAAATATATCTAGTCACTGACTAGTAGTCAGGACGTCTCTAGTCCTTCTTATCAGTAAAATTCTAGGCTTCAGTTTGGAACCCGTCTGAGATGAACGGTTTGGACAACGACGATCATGAATTGGGTACCGGAATCTTTTTCTGATTGACAGTTTTACGATGAGATGGCCGGTTGAGCAAAGATCCCGCTTAAAAACACGATACAGCGTTTGTCAGGACATTGTTTGTTCACTGTGGGGCCTTCGCAATTCTGAACTGAATCAGTTCACGTATGTTGTGTTTCCTTTGGATTTCTGTATCTTAAAGATACTATCTTTCGAGTGGAAAGTTTCGACGGGAAGCTTTTACGTGGATGAGCAGCCGCACTGTTAGTGCGGCACTAAGCTGAAGTATCGTTCGTGAAGTGCACCTTGAGCGGTTCCCATTTCTTGCTTCCGGTATTGTTCAGTTATGGTTCGTTCTGATCGCTATAAAAGCCAGTTCACCAGTTCAACATTATTCCCGATATGAAACGTTCACCGTTCTTGCATACTACAGTCACTATAGCATGGTAACGACATTTTTGATTCAGAGCTCGAGCAATGCTGTACAACCTTTAATCGGCAAGCGTAGGATAGCAGATGGTGTTCTACGCAAGAAATCATTACTGTAAGATGCTGCCTGGTTACGTATTTTCTTACATAAGGGTGTGTTACATTGTAATACTGATAATGATATAATGCGGAAAGGGCGCTTGCGAATTGCGGACCACATTCACCTTCCTGTCTTCCGCCAAAATAGCCAAACGTCCGCATTGCATTACCTAGAGCATTTTCGCAACCGTTGCAC